CCTCTGAGCCATCTCTCCAGCCCCGAATTTATGATTTTAAAAGTATTCAATCAATTATGTATTGAATAACTACTCAATAAACATTGTACATTTCAAATGTATAATTTAGTGGGCTTTGACAAATGTCCACACTCGTGTGCTCACCACTGTCCTCGAGAGAAGGAATGTACTTCAGATGTGTTCCTAGCCCTCAGGGGCAACAGTGGTGTGGTGGGTGGTTTGGCAGTTTTTCTGGGGGAGACATGGACAGACATCTGTTCATCCCAGAGAGGACTTTATTGACAGATCAAAGGAAAGTTCCGCCCAAGTCTAGCTTGGTGAACCAGGGAGTTTATTTGGGTTTCTAACTGGGGCGTGAGTCACCCAAGTACAGCTGCACCCCAGAAAGGCCCACCCCAGCATGAGCGATAGGCCCAGGGCTCCCGCTGAACTTGAAGGCGGCTAGCTTCACGAAGACTCCTCTCCCAGCACTTGGTTACGGCTTACTTACGCAACGTTCACTTGGGGCGGGACCTTGGAACTTCTGTGAGTTTCTTGGTTGGTTGAAGTTTCTTGGGCTTCCCAAGCTCCCTGAATCTGAGGGTCCTTCCTCCCTCTGGAGGCAATGGTTCCATTGCAGGCCCAGGACAGCTGGCCTCTCATCTCCAATTCCTTTTTCCTTTTTTTTTTTTAACAAAAATATGTATGTATGTATGTATGTATGTATGTATGTATGTATCTATCTATCTATCTATCTATCTATCTATCTATCTATCTATCTATCTATCTATGACACAAGGTCCCACTATGTAGCCCTGGCTGTTCTGGACCTCAGTCTATAGACCAGGCTGGCCTTGAACCCCCACCCACCCATGAGAGATCTGCCTGCCTCTGCCTCCCAAGTGCCAGGATTAAAGGCATGCTGCAACACACCTGGCTGGTTTTCCCTTTCTGAATCAAATTTCACATCAATGGAATCATATGGCATGAATCTTTTTGCATGAGGCTTCTTTTTCTTGGGATTTAGTTTTATTCATTTATTATGGTGAGTGTGTTTTTTTGTTTTTGTTTTGTTTTGTTTTGTTTGAGACAGGGTTTCTCTGTATAGCCCTGGCTGTCCTGGAATTCACTCTGTAGACCAGGCTGGCCTTGAACTCACAGAGATCTGCCTTCCTCTGCCTCCTACGTGCTGGGATTAAAGGTGTGTGCCACCACAGCCCAGCCACTTGTGTTTTGTTTTTTAACATTTATTTACTTGTGGATGTGTGGAGGTCAGAAGACCACCCACGGGGCTTGGCTCTCTCCTTCCAGGCTCCAGGGATTGAACAGAGCCCATAGGCTTCTTGGCAAGTGCCTTTTCCATCTGAGACATCCTGCTGTCCTGTTTTTATGTTATTTTTTTGCAGGTTCAGGCTGATTTTAATGTAGCTAAGAATGACCTTGAACTTCTGATCCTTGAACCTCCTGGATTGAAGGTGTGTACC